GCCGGGTGTCCGGCTCGGCCGCCTCCCCGGAGAGCCCGCGCCGGCGGGATGCTCGACTTTGCAACGTTCGTGTTCCCTTTGCTTTCAGAACTGGAACTGAACACCAAGTGCGTGGTGGAGATGGAAGGGAACCAGACGGTCCTGCACCCTCCTCCTTCCAACACCAAACAGGGAGAAAGGTAACGCGGCGCGCAGAGGGCGGGAGGAGGACCCGACCCCGCGGTCTCCAAGTTTGAACCAGGAAAATGGGAGTGTTCTTCCCTATTGTTAGGAGGATTGGCTTCAAGTTTGTCGCACGCTCCCGTCTGTAGCTGTTACAAGTCCAAGTTCCTCTCCTCCCGCTGCGCTCCACCCCCACCGCCCCCGTCTGGAGCGGCTTCGGGCCGGGCACCCTGGCCAGAGCTAGCACCAGTCAGCTTGTCCCCGGCAGGCCCAAGCCTCGAGGCACCCTGACGTAGAGGGGCCGGCTGGGTAGGACCCTAAAGATGATTAGTCTAATGGCCACATTTTACAGATAAGAAAACTGAGGCTGGAGTGGGCAAGTGACCGCCTCGTTGTTCTCGGGACCCAGTGCCCCAGGTTCTTTCCACCGCTGCACTGTCTGCTTCATTGGACAGACTCGTGTAGGGACTTTGTGTGTAAAATGAGAGAGGACCCCACAATAAAGCAAAAACAGTCTTGTAAGATGCAGGCTGAGGCCTGGACCATTTAAAATCTATTTTGTTGGTGGTGGTGGGATAATGCCTGAATGTGATATGCGAAGTTTGATTTTAAAAGGAAACAAAAGTAGTGTCCAAGCTGTGCAGACACTGGGGGGATGTTTAAGAGGGGGCTGCATTTACTAGATGGCAACATATTTGCATTTGAAAAGTTGTAACTGTTGGATCCTTATTAATTCTGCTCTATTCCACCCAGCAGTATGGGAAAATGCCCTAAAATAATTAGAATATTTGGCATTTTTCTGGTAAGCCCCTGAGAAGAAAACGGTTGGAATTCAATCAGTATAGCAGTGCACTAGCTTGTAAAATATAGGAAAGAAAAAACAGGAGATTTGGCAAAATTAATTCCTCTGGGACATGAGTATGAGTGTGTTTCTAGAAGTCACCTGTTGAGTGATGTGCTACAATTTAGTGGTTTTTGCTCTTCAGAGATTTTCACTGGAGACTCTGAAGTAGGGTTTGTTACTTTATTGCTAAAGGAAGCAACTGCCTCCATTCTAAAGTCATGTGGTGTTACGCACAGTTTTGCTAAATTTGGGGAAAGAAATTATCGGGATGTAAGATTGTTTTTTGTTGTTGCTGTTTTGTGGGTTTTTGTTTGTTTTTGCTTTTTGTACCAAGGCTAGCAATTTTTACTCAGTTTGCAAACATTTTGCTACCTACAGCAGATTGTTATGGTGATAGTAAATAGCTAAGTTATGTTTAAAATGTTGTGTTAAATACTTTTAAATAATGGATGTAACCTTGGGCAATATTTTTAGATACATTTTAAATGTTGTAATTTAGATACATGTATAGCAATGTAGTATATTTCATGGTTAGTAAGTAAACTCATTGAGTACATTAAAATATATGTAGGTTAAATTAGATCACCAACATGCCCCCCCCCCCC